TCTTAGTTCCCCAACCAGGGATTAAACCCATTCCCCCTACAGTGGAAATGCAGGGTCTTAATCACTGGACCACCAGGGAAGTCCCTAGAATTCTTAAACTCTAAAAGCATTAAATAGAAAGGGGAAAAAATGGATAAAGTGGACTTTAGAAAAATTAAAAGTCTTTTCCTCAAAAGATACCAATGAGGGGAATTCCCTGGTGGTCGAGTGGTTAGGACTCCACGCTTTCACTGCCAAGGGTTTGATCTCTGGTCAGGGAACTAAGGTTCCAAAAGCCACACAAGTGCGGCTGAAAAAAAGAAAAAACAAACCTCTGAAAGTGAAAAGGAAAGTCACAAAGTGGGAGAAGGTCTCTGCAATGCATATTCTGACAAAGAACTTATATCCAGAATACACAAATACATTACAAATCAATAAAAAGATCAGATATCTCAAATTTCTGAATATACAGAAAGCTTTGAGCAGGAACGTCCCAAAAGGAGATTCCAAATAGGCAATAAATGAAAAGTGGTCCACTTCCCTGACCATTAAGGAAATGTACACGAAAACCACAATAGTGTCGGCGCCTTTCTGCACTCAGAACCGGCAGAAGTGAGTACCGACTGGAATCCTTCATACACCATGGGTGGGAATGAAGATGGGTACCATGGCTTAGGAAGATGCTTTGTCAGTATCTGCAGAGATTGCAAACCCCAACAATTCTTCTCCTGCCTGTACACTCGACAGGAATGCCTATCCGCTCACCAAAAGGCATGGGACAGAGTATCCACAGCAAGACTATTCACAACAGCAAAGGAACTAGAAACAGCTCCAACACCCATCAATTTGGTTGGTAAATAAGTCGAGGTTCGTTCATGTAACACAACATGTAACACGACTAAAGGCTTCCCTGGTGGTTCAGCGGTAAAGAATCTGCATGCCAAGCAGGAGACATTGTTCGATCCCTGGTCCAGGAAGATCCCCTGGAAAAGGAAATGGCAACCCACTCCAGTATTCTTGCCTGGAGAATCCCATGGACAGAGGAGCCTGGCGGGCTACAGTCCATGGGGTCGCAATGAGTCGGACGTGACTTTGCGACTGGACCACAAGACTAAACCATTTGCAGCAAAGTTGGTGAATCTCACAAACGTATGCACAAGAGAGAATATAGAATATGATGCCATTTATCTGAAGTTCAAAGCAGGCAAATCTACTATGTGGTGATAAAAGTTGAGACCGTGGCAGGTGTTATAGACCTGAAGGGGCATATGGAAGGCTGCTCCCACAAGTGTGCTCAGTTATCTAAAATTCAGTGATCAGTACACTCATGATTTGTGAAAGTTTCTGTATGCATGTTAGGGAAAAATTCCCTTGAAACGAAAACCAAAAATGTTAAAGTAGGATGGGTTCTGGAAACTTCTTCACAAGCTGCTTGCCTCGACCTTTTCATGAAGCCAGGACCCAACTCCATATCCACGACTTGCTGGAGCTCAGTTTAAAGAACCTTGATCTAGTCCACCACCCTTCACTCTGTCATGAATATCTTAATTCCCTCATTTTACAGGAGGAAGCTGAGAACAGAGGGAAGAGACCCACCCTAGTCACCAGACAGACACTGTACACCACACCAGACAGTGTACAGACAGCTGGGCCAGGTCTAGAACAGAAGTGAAGGCTGGGAAAGAAGCAGAAATCGACGTGTTGTGGTTCAAGGTAGAAACACGTGGGCCCTGCCATCTTCCAGTTGGGCCACTCATGTCCCCTAACCCTCCTGTGCCTTATTTTTGTCTGGAAATTGGGAGTCACCATGGTACCAGCCTCAGGACTGCCATGAACACTGAGTAACACCAGCAAAGGGCTCAGCACACAGCTCAAAGACTCTGGCCATGATGATTGCTATACTATTTTGTTGGGAGGGAGCCATGCCATGTAGCTTGTCTGAGCTAGGATCTTAGTTCCCTGACTAGGGATTGAACCCATGCCCCCTGCCATGGAAGTTTGGAGTCGTAACCACTGAACCACCAGGGAAGTCTCAGTTGCTATTCTTATTGAGGATACCAGGTCAGGAGAAAAAAGGGATTCCCACATGCTCAGCACACTTTGCCAGAAGGACACTGCCAGGGGAGTCCTCTGATCTCACGCAATCCTCCCACAGCCTTTCAAGGTGGGACTATTAGACTCATTTACAGATGAAGGTATGGAACCTAGAGAGTTGAACACTGAGGTCCAGGTGAAGTCAGGAATGCAAGTGAGGTCTGTCTGACCCCAGAAGAACCAAAGAGCAAGATAAGATGTCATGCCTTAATGAAGAGGAACGCCAGGAAAGGAGAAAACACTCTGGGAGGGCCCAGCACAGCATCATCCCCTGGTGCCTGTCCCACACCCCCAGCTTCCCTGTGGGACCTCTTTCAGTCTTGGCACCAGCCTGATCTCTCAGCTCCAGACATGTGGGCCCCACACCAGGGATAACCCCAGCCTCCACCCCATCAAGGACCTCCTCCTGCTCCTTCCCTCAGTCCAGCCCATCAGCACCCCACATCAGGTCCCTCCCTCCCCACAGCCCCAGCCCAGCTCAAGCCTCATCCTCCCATCTGACCTGGAGCATCTCTCTCCTGCAGCCTCCCTCAGGGCCCAGCTTTTGCAAACATCTAGATCTGGCCCGGTCCCTTCCGGTTTAACAGTCTCCAAGATACATGCCAGACACTTCAGTTACATCGGACTCTTTGCGACCCCATGAACTGTAGCCCACCAGGCTCCTCTGTCCATGGGATTCTCCAGGCAAGAAACCTGGAGTGAGTTGCTTTGCCCTCCTCAAGGGGATCTTCCCAACCCAGGGATCAAACCTGCATCTCGTCCATTACAGGAGGATTCTTGACCACTGAGCCAGCAGAGCAACCCCTCCAAGGTACAGAATGAGCATGACTAAGCTCTTCAGAGGCTAGTCCCCACCTGTCACAGTGCTTACCACTCCGTGTTCGCTGGGTGCCAGGCACCATCCCAAGCCCTGGGGACCAGAGTGGAAAGTAAGACAGGTCCTGACAACTTCGTGCCCCTCCCGCCGGTGCCCAGGTTGACTCATGTCTGTGTCGCCAAGTGCCTGACACAGGCCCTGCCCAGAAACATGAGTCTGAGAAAGTTGGTGAACGAAGGGGCACACTGAGGCTGCTGCCTCCACATCCAACCTGGCCAACACTTCCTGAGGCCCCTCCCCCTGGGAGTTCCCGCTGCCTGGGAGGCCAGGCCCCCTCCTCTGTGCACCCAACTCCTACACAGCTTCTAAAGCCCCATCTAATGCCACCTCCTCTGTGAAGCCTTCCTTCCTCAGGCTTTTGAAAGTTCAGGCAGCCCCTCCTTTCCGTGGGGCCCGCTTATCACCCTGGCTGGGAATGATTGCGTCCAGGTCCACCTCCTTCATCAGAATGGGATCCCCTCCCCGGGGCCACTCGAGGACAGAGAGACCATGAGACCACCTGTGACTCATCCCAGCGCCTCCGGGATTTATATCACATCTGGTGCAGCTTCAGTAAATATTTGTAGAATGAATGAGAGAATAAATGACTCCATCACAAGAAAAATGAAGGTTAGGAAGAGGGCAACACGGGCCCAGGGGCCCTGGGGAAAAGGGGAGACAAGTGTGGGAAGAGGCCGGAAGCCCCTCGGGTCATGGCTGTGCTCTCCTGACATCCCCGCCCTGACGTCCGCCCTTGCTCCCTACCCAGAACCCCAGAAGCCTCTGGGGTGCACTCCGCTTCCACGAGTGCAAGGAGGTGCTCCTTCTCCCTGTCAGCCTGGCCTGGCCCTCAGGGCCCCTTGGTGAGGCTGTTAGGAAGTGTCTGGTTTCCCGTCTGCAGGCCATCTGTCCCTCCTCAGCAGGCTCACTGGCCCTTCTCCAGAGGAACGCGAGGCCCACACTAGGTCAGGAGTTCCCCAGGGACCGAGGGAATGGCTCAGCGTGCAACGCGCTGCTTTAGGGGCCTCTGCCGTCCTGCGGAGCCCATGTAATCCTCCCAAGCTCAGCGTCCACAGCTATCGGCTCACAGTGACCGGGGGGCTCCCCCGAGACAATGGACGCTACCCGGGCAGGGACCCAGCTGCTCTGAAGCCCAGCGGCTTGGGGCACCCTCCTGCTCCCCAGGTCCTGAGCATCTCCCCTCCCTGACCTCCTGGCAGGAGGCAGAGGGTGCAGGGGACAGGGTAGGGGTTCCAAGTATGTCCCTCAGCTCCAGCCAGGACCCACCTTGTAAACTGCTTCCTGACCATCAAAAGGAGAGAGATAGGAGCAGCTGAGAGGTTTAAAGAGTGACACCTGCCAGGGCCTAGCACGGTGCCTGATGTGAGAGCAGGTTCATAAATCCTCACTGACACACAAAGGCTGCTTGGTCTCTGACCTGGTAAGACGTAAGACTGGCACCCCAGGGGCTACAGGACCATGATCGTGCCAGGGCTCAGGATGGAGAGGACTGGACCTTCAGAGCACAGTGCTTAAGACCCAGGTTGCGGAGATTCAGAGACGTGGCGTCCCTTTTGGCCATGCCTTATACTTGCTGTGTGTCCTGGCCAAGTCACTTAACCTCTCTGAGCTTCTTCAAGATGGATGTTAAATAAGGTGGCGTGTGTCAATATGCTCCGAGGGCAAATGTGACAGAATGACCTCTCCCGCGATGGTGATTCACGGGGGCCCACCCTGGGCCGGGCGCCGTGCGAGGCCCTGCCTGCGGTGCCAGTGGAATGCTCACGCTGACAGCGGTTCCCGTCTCTGCCAGGCATCGGCAGGCTGGCAGCTCCCAAGGCTGGACCTGGCTCTGAGGTCAGAGTCTGTGCCTGCTGAGGCTCCAGCAGCAATTAGGTGGGTGACATCTTGTCCACAGTCAGGGGTCATCGGGTGCCTGGGTGACATCCCCCCTGTTCTGGGTTTTGGGCCAGCCCTGGCAATGCCTCCCACCTCCTCACCAGGACCGGGCCAGGGCACCACTCAGCAAAGGCAGCTGCATCCATGGCCCACCCCCACGAGGGCCACTCACCAGGATGGTCGTAACCACCAGCGTCTTGTTGGCCAGCGTCTGCGACAGGTTGATGTCCAGGGTGGTGGCGTTCATGGCCAGCGTCCGGTTGGAGTACCACACCCCGATCTGAGGCAGAGAGGGCGCTGTCAGCACAGGCATTTCCGCCCCCCACCCCCGAGGACGCCTCAGCCCTCGGGCCCTGCCCTACCCTCGCCCCCCACCCCCCCGCCCCACCAAGGCCCCCGGCATCGCCCTGGGGAAGCTCACCTCCCGGTGGCCCTGCCGAGACTTCTCCAGGATGCGCAGCGTGTAGTTGGTCCTCTGCCCTTTGCTGTTGAACTCCACCCGTCCGGTCAGCCCGTCATACTCTACCTAGCAGGGCGGGAGGAGGGCAGAGGGAGGGGCGGGCCCGGAGGGAGGAGACACAGAGAGAGGGAGAGGGACCAGGAGGGACCACAGGTGAACGGGCACGACCACGTGCCGGCAAAAGGAGAGGAGCAGGCGGGAACAGCACAGACCGAGGAAGGCCAGGCCCAGAGAGAGCAAGGAGGCGGGGGAGGGGGTCGGAGGTGCAGGGGGCGCGGGGCGCGGGGGAGACACAGTGAGTGCCCCCGCGCACCCAGGCAGGCTGCCGCGCTCCCTCGGCCCGCCCCGCTCCGCGCTCACCATGCGCAGGTAGTTCATGAGGCTGGTCCCGTGGGGCCAAATGTTGGCCGACGTACAGGCCAGCGGCTTCACGCCGATCTCCTGGCTGCGGTTCAGCTCCCGGACGGCGCTCACCACCACGTGCACGGCGTCAAACATCAGGGCAGCCGACAGCTGGGGGATGGACGGTGGGGTGGGGGGCAGAGATGGGGAACGAATGGGAAAGACGGAGTTCAGCCAAGGGAGGCCCGAAGCTCCGTGGTGTTTACCCCCAAGCCCTCAGACATTTCTCTCTCCAGCAATGTAAAATCATGAGGTCAGGAGCGAGGAGGGGTTTCTCGGGGGTCGGAGATGGCAGGGGGAAGGGCAACCAGGCTGCCCGAGCCGTTGTCAGGGCGGCTTTTCCTGTGGGGCATGTGTCTTGGGAAGAGCACATCCAAGAGGGTTTGCCTGGATGGCCAGCTGTCACCCCCATAGCGGGGAGGTTCGTGGGCACAGAAATCCATGCGTCCGTGTGGTTGACATGAGGTCACGGAGGAGGGGAAGGGAGACAGCCACAGACCCTGTGTCCAGGGACACACTTATGTGGGCGGGGCTGGACAAACGTGCATATTTGTCTATACATGGGGGGAGGGGCGTCATGTGCAGGAAACAGGAGGGCATAAGGGTTATGAGCCCGGGGCCGGGTGGCAGATGACTCCACTAGAGGCCTGGCTCTGCTATTAATATTTCCTGCAGAGAGCTGAGTCCACACCCCTCCCCAAATCTCCGCTTTCTCCCTGATAAAAGTAAAGGTAACAGTTAACTCTGCCTCTGAGTGCTTATGTGGGATTCCAGGGAGAGAACGCATGCAAAGAGCTCAGAACAGCGCCTGGCACTCAGCAAGGGCTCGACACGCACAGGCTGCTGAGCTGTGTCTGTGAATTCGGGACGTGTGTCTTGGAGAACGTGGGAGAACGTGTCTCAGCGGGCTGGGTGTGACGGTCTGAGTAGCCGTGTGGTGTCGGTAGGTGCAGGGTGCGGACAGATGCGCATCTGTCCTTGTATGTGCGTGAGGGCCCTGCACGCACACGTCTGGACACGTGGCTTGGTGTCTGTGTAAGTTTCTGTACACAAAGGTGTGTCTTCTTGGTACCCTGGTGTCTGACTAGATGTCTGTGAACAAATACACATTAAGTATGCATCTTTTGTATGTCTGCATTTATTCAACACATGTTTTTGGACATCTATCCTGAGCCAGCTGGTTTTAGGTGTGGGGATACAATAAAGAACAAAACAGACAGAAAACCCCTGCCCTCATGGAACTTACAACCTAAGTCTCTATAAATACATCTAAGCACAATATAGAGCAAGCCATGGGGTGATTAGATAAGCAAAGACAGGTGCTGTGGAGAAAAACCCAGCAGGGGAGGGGGTTAAACCGTAGATGTTTGTTAGTCTCTCAGCCATGTCCGTGTTCAACTCTCTGTGACCCCACGGACTGTAGCCTACCAGGCTCCTCTGTCCATGGAATTCTCCAGGCAAGAATACTGGAGTGGGTTGCCATTTCCTTCTCCAGGGGATCTTCCCAACCCAGGGATGGAACCTGGGTCTCTCGCATTGCAAACAGTGGGTAGTTGGCCATTTTTAAAATAGGGGGGCATTTGAGCAGTAACTTGGTGATGAGCGAATCACTAGCTCCCTGGGGATGTACATGCAGAGCAGCAGGAAGAGCAAGTGCAAAGGCCCTGGGGTGTGCATGTGCTAGGGCACCTGGAGGTGTGGCTGGAGCAGGTGGAGAGGAAGAAATGGGTCAGACTTAACCCCAGGGCTGCACCAAGAGGCCTCCTGGACATACTCAGAAAGCAAGAGGTGTACCAGGGGGTCCTGAGCACAATTGGCCGAAGCCTGAAGGGGCCCCAAAGTGTCTGTGTGCTAGGAGGAGGGCGCGAGCTCACCGCAGGGCCGGGGTAGGTGCTGGCTTCACAGTTCTCCCTCCAGGACATGTTGAGGCTGCGCACGAACTCGGGATAGAAGGGGTGCGAGGTGTTGAACATGGAGAAGCCCAGGATGTTGGAGGAGTCCTCCACAACCCCGTCCAAGTGCAGGATGGGGAAGTCCTGGGGCCGAGAAGAGGGCATGAGGCTGGGGCAGGCCCACCTGGGGCAGAGGTGGGTGGGGGCTGCAAGGGGGTACGCACCATGGTGGTGAGGATGTACTTATAAAACGCTGAAGTCATTCCCAGCTCTGAGGCCTGGAGAACAGAGGAGGCAGAAATGGGGAGAAGCCGAGAGACACCCCGTGGGAAACAGTAAGAGACACCCAGGGACAGAGAGAGACAGGGAAAAAGGAGATGCATGGAGACAGAGGGAGACCTCGGTTCCTCCCATCCCACAGGGTGGCTGGCGCCCCAGGTGGGATGAAGATTTTGTCGGAGGGAGAATGACACCCTCAAGTGCCCACCTTTCTCTTTAGGTCACTTAGAAGACTACTTTCTGGAGACAGCCAAAGGAACACCTCAGAAAAAGGGTGGCAGTAACCTTAACTTTAACCCCCAGGTTGCCCCAAAGCCAAGTTTGGGGCTGCTAATGTGTAGGGCTCAGCCGGGTCACAGGTCAGAAAAACTACGCCTTGCCATTTTTAAAAGCACTTTTCCATGAAAGGACGTGCATTTAAATCTCAAGATTTGGGGGAATTCCCTGGAGGTTCAGTGGTCAGGACTCTGCGCTTCTACTGCAGGGGGCACAGGTTCAATCCCTGGGGGGGTGGTGGGGTGGGAACTAATAGCCCACCTGCCCGCAGCATGACCAAAAAAGAAAAAAATTTAGAAAATAAAAAAAAATAAATAACTCTCAAGATTCACATTCTCACAGTCCTTAAGAACAAAGCTAGAAGACATCTTAGGTCTGCGGCTCCCAGTTCTATGCCACTCGGATCATTAGAACAGGAAATGGCACCAGCCTGCATAGCCTGCGTGGCAGAAGCTGTGAGCACGTGTTACAGCCCCTTCCAGGATTGGAAAGTGCGGGCCAGAAAGGAGGGTGATCACTGGTCACCCGCTCACACAGGAGCAGCTGGGACCCTGGCCCAGGGCTGCCCTGCCTGCCTTGAGAACCCAGAGTCTTTTCTCTCAGACGCCTGCCTCAAGAGCCCCGTGGATTCTGTCACACTTCTTCCTAGAAGCTACACTCAGCAATGACATATGGTTTTAATTTTTTAAAAGCTGGAGAAAAATAAATAATACAGATTAGATTATAAGGAAAATTAAGAGCAGGGAACAATGAATGATTAATGAATGTGGGTCACTGGTGGGTGGCACTTGGAGGGCCCTGGGGTGGGAGGAGAAGGTCCTGGGACTGGCCTATCCTGGGTGGCCTTGAGCCAGTCCATCTCTCCCCCCAAGTCCCTGCTTCTTTATTCACAAAATGGTATCATACTTGCCCTGCAGAGTGGGATGAGAGCCAAATACACATATATATACTGTGCTCTATGCTAAGTCCCTTCAGTCATGTTCATCTCCTTGTGACCCCATGGACTATAGCCCATCAGGCTCCTCTGTTCATGGGATTCTCCAAGCAAGAATGCTGGACTGGGTTGCCATGCCCTCCTCCAGGGGATCTTCCTGACCCAGGGATTGAACCTGCGTTTCTTACATCTCCTGCACTGCCGAGGCGGGGGGCTTCTTTACCACTAGTGCCACCTAGGAAGCATATATAATATATTTTTTTGGCTGAGCCGTGCATCTTGTGCAACATTAGTTCTCCGACTAGGGATGGAACCCATGTTCCCTACAGTGGAAGTGTGGAACCTTAACCACTGGACCACCAGGGAATTCCCGAGAGCCAAATTAAAGAAGACACGCAAATGCCCCAACACAGAGTAGGACAAGCACTCAGTAAAGACCGCAGTGCACTCCCAGTATGCCAACATCTACTCTGGGCCAGGGGCCATCCGGGTGCCTCCCCACCATTCCCTTATTTACCCTCATGGCAGTCCAATGAGGTAGGAAGTATTCCCAAAAAGGGGAGGTAACTGTCCAGGATCCAACCAGGGGTGCAAGCGGGAAGAGACAGAACTTCCTGGTTAGTGTTTGCACGTGGGAAGCGGGACTCCGGACTGCCATGCAACCACTGAGGCCCGTGGGCCTCAGCTGACTTGCTCTGTCACCCCATGTTTCTGCTCCTGACCCTGCAGGGAATCAGAGACAGGGCAGGGAGAGACCCACCTTACGGAGAATGAGGTGGGAGATGGATGCGTTGGCGTCGATGATGATGGTGGACACTTTGTCGTCACGGATCTCCTTGAGCAGCGGCGTGGGGTCCCGGCTGTCATCCAGCATCCTCACAGAGAGCGTCTCTTTGGAGATGAGGAAGCCGCGCACCAGCTCCTCCAATCGCAGCAGGCCTGAGGGAGGGAAGGGACCCTGTGTTAGAGCCCCTCCGTGCGCCTGGATGGGAGTGGCCACTCCCTGCTCTCTGGCATGGGGTAGCTGGGGAGAGGACGCGGGGCAGCTGTCCAGAGCACAGCTGGCTCTCTTGGGGTGCTGGGCCAGGACCTCCCCTGACCTCCACATGCCTGTCTCCTGCCACCTTTCTGCCCCCAAGGGGCTGCGTCACAGGCACGCACACTTCGCACGTGCAGAGCCGCAATCTGCTCTTCTCGCCAAACCACCAGTCTCTCGGGGTCAGTGCACAAACTCCAGCCGGCCAGGCGCTCAGGCCAAAACCTTTGATGGCAGCCTGGCTTCCTCTCCGTCTCACATCAGCGCCCAATCCACCCAGATTCGAGTTTCAAAGCATACCCTGTGGCACCGAGCCACCATCACCGCCCTGGCCCAGGCCGCTGCCATCTCCTGCCTGTTACGACGGCCGCACTGCCCCACACCCCCGGGAGAGCCTGTTCCCGGGGCAGCAGCCAGAACTGCTGTGAGCAGGTGTGTCCCCGTCTGTTCCAAACCCTCCGACGCCTTCTCATTTGTTCAGAGTGAAGGCCAAAGTCCTCAACGCCCCCAAGGCCCCACTCCATCTGCCCATGCGCCTCATCTCCCTGACCTCATCTCCTCTCACTCACTCTCAGCCATGCTGGCCTCCTCGTTCACACACGCGCGCGCACACACACACACACACACACACACGCCTGGTGGCCTCCGCGCCTGCTGTCCCCTCCACCTGGAACACTCTTCTCCAGATCCCCACTTGGCTCCGTCCCTCACCACCTTCAGATCTCTACTCAAATGTCACCTCCTCAACAAGGCCCAAGCCCACTAGCCCATTTCAAATACCACCCCCTGCCCCAGCTCTCCCAGTTCCTGTCATCTTCCTCTATTTATCATAAGACTTTACACACACACACACACACACACACACACACACACACACATATATACATATTTTTTTTTGGCTGTGCTGTGCAACATGGGATCCCAGTTCCCCAACCAGGGATCGAACCCACAGCCCCTGCATTGGAAACTCGAGTCTTAACCACTGGACTGCCAGGGAAATTCCTGTCCACAGGACTCAACACTGTTGACTGGACCACGTCTTCTCTATGTTCACCGCCTGGCTCCTCTTATTAGCTCTGACAAGGGCAAGGACCCCTGGCCTGGCTCACGCACAGCCTCATCCCTAAGACCAAGAAGAACGTCTGGACCACGGCAAGTGTGCAGGAAATACCTTATGAAAGAGGACTTCTTCCTGGAGGTGACTGAGCGCGGTCCTCTCTCTCTCCAGCTGCACACCCACAGGCCCACCAGCCCCACCAGCCCCCTAGATGTCCCCACTTGACTGTCTCAAGGACACCTCAAACCCACTGCATGCCCCAGAACTGACCATCCCTTCCAACTCGGGCAGGACCTCGTCACCATCCATGACCCCTCTGGCCTTCCCTCACGATGCTCCTCAGATCCATTCTGGCCCCTCCAGCCCCTGCCACCACCTGAGCCCTAACCAAGACCATCCCTCGCCACCTCTGGGGGCTCTCCCTGCCACATCTCCTGTCGCTCTCCGAGTCTGCTGTCTACACCGCAGCCAAAGGGCCCAGAGAGCTCTTCTTGCAACACACCCGCCTGGTGCGGTCCTTGCCCCACCCTCCATCACTGGGCTTCCCTGATGTCTCAATGGGTAAAGAGTCCACCTGCAATGCAGGAGACACAGGAGATACATCTGTCTTCCATCCATGGGTGGGGAAGATCCCTTGGAGGAGGAAATGCCAACCCACTCCAGTATTTTTGCCTGGGAAATCCCATGGACAGAGAAGCCCAGCGTGCTACAGTCCATGGGGTCGCAAAAGAGTTGGACATGACTGAGCGACTTAGCACATCGTCTTCAGGATAAAACACAGGCCCGGAGCGATGGAGCCCCATCTCCGGGTCCTGCTTCATCACTCCTGCACAGGGGGCATCTTTGAGCCTCCCTGGGCCTTGCCTCTGCCTTGCTTTCTACTCAGGACCCACGCCTTCCCTCCTCTCCCACCTCAACTCATCCCCACCATTCAGGTCCAGCATAGAGGTCCCTTCCTCTGGGAGGTGGACACTGAGGCTCTCAGACCAGGGTAGGATCACCCCCTGCTTAACTCCTGAGAGCTCGCATCACTCTGAATCACAACTGCTCGCCCGCCGTGAGGCCCAGTGGCCCTGGAGCTCCGGGAAATCGGGGACCGAGCCTAGCACTACTCACTGAGGAAACGCCGAGACCTAGCAGGGGCCTGCTCGGAGTCATGCTTAGTGATTATCTGTGCATTAAATGGTCTCTTTGGGGTGGGGAAGTGAGAAGGTGGTGGCCTATGGAACCAGAGATTGGGTTCCTAAAGGGAAAGGGATGCAGGGACAAGGAGAGACTGTGTCTGACTCCCCCAGACCTTACAACCAGGGGGCAAAAATGACTGTGAGAGATTAGATCTCTTGGGAAGAGCAGTTTGGGGAAACAGAAAACAAAGCCTCCTGCTCTCCTCCCTCGTGGGAATTCCCTGGAAGTCCAGTGGTTAGGGCTCCGCATTCTCACCGCCAAGGGCCCAGGTTTGACCCCTGGTCGGGGAACTAAGATCCCTCAAGCCGCAAGGCACGGCCAACAAAATCAAAGAAGTAAAAATGAAATAAAAAACCATTCTCCTCCCTCACACTCGGCCTTGGCGCAGATGAGGCTGGCCGAGGGGTAGTTGAAGGACTTGAGGATCCGGGAGACGGCCAGACTGACGTCCTCGTTACTGGGGTACAAGCTGACGGACGCGAAGCGGAGGTACTGAAGGCGGGGTGTCTCCTCGGGACCCACCTTGATGTGGGGGATCTAAACAGAGAAGAACTTGTGCTTCCATCCTGCTCCCCCTCCCCAGCCCTCAGCCTCCAGGGACCCGCCCCCCACCCCAGGCTCCCCTCTCACCTCCTTCTCTCCACAGATATGGCTCACGGTGGAGGCAGACGCAGGGCTGGAGGAGGGTCCCAGGACAGACACAACCCCCTTGGGCAGGATCTGACACACTGCGAGGGGCAGGAAGAGACTGCAGATTCAGGCACTTGCTTCCTCTTTGCTGACCCCACCCTTGGGGACCCTTCCCTGGCCCGGGAGAGAACCCGACACTCCGCATAGGGCTGCCTGATCCTTCTCCCCATGCCGGACCCAGAGGCCCGATCCCTGACCAGGCCCACCGCAGGGGAAAAAAAACAGAGGGGCCACGAGACACAGGGAGACAGGAAGACAGGCCAACGGACGGCCAGGTCAGAGCAAGAGAGAAACAAAGAGGGCAAGAGGACACCAAGGACCTCCTTCTGGCTGCAAATCCAGGGTCTGGTTTCTCAGCCTTTGTCTTTGTCAACCTTTTTAACCACACAAAACCTAGGATACTGGGCTTCCCAGGCGGCTCAGTGGTTAAAAGAATCAATCCACCTGCCAGTGCAGGAGACACAGGAGACACACGTCCCATCCCTGGGTCAGGAAGATCCCCTGGAGGAGAAAATGGTACCCTGCTCTAGTATTCTTGCCTGGAGAATCCCATGGACAGAGGACGCTGGGGGCTGTAGTGCATGGTGGGGGGGTCATCCAACACCCCTTCTACCCCGAACTGACAGCCGAGGCTCCCTCTATGCTCTACACCCCAAACACCTTTCCTCTGTTGCATTTACTGGCTCTCTTTCTTCCCTTTTCTTTCTCCTTATACACATGTGCATCTCTAGGGTGGGAGGCAGGCCGAGTCTTGTTTTCACCTGCACCGTGCCCATCCCCATGGCAGAACATGAACTTTCCCTCGGGGAAGCACATGGTTCCCAGAACTGATTGATTCCTGACCCAGGATCAAAGAACCACATTGTCCTGGCCACAGGGATCGGTTCAGAGATGGGGACGGGCTCAAACTAGGCCATTGAGAGCCTTCCCCAGGTCCCCTGCTAAAATTATCCCTGGCTTTGCTAAACTGGAGAGATGTAAAGTTTTGACCAGTTGTGGCCATCCTGACACCAGCTGGGGAGGGCATTCCTGAAAACAAAACCAACTGAGAGGAAAGTAGGACCCAGAGAGGAAGACGCAGAGCTTCCTGGAACATCACTTGAGTATCTGCATGCCAGAAACAATCCAGGGATATCATTCGAGGACCTGGATCCAAGCAAGCCCCGAATTAATCTTTAGGTCATTTGCTGTTGTTCAGTCACCAAGTCGTGTCTGACTCTTTGCAATCCCGTGGACTGCACCATGGCAGGCTCCCTTGTCCTCTACTATCTCCCCGAGGTTTGCTCAGATTCATGTCCATTGAGTTGGTGATGCCATCTAGACGTCTCATCCTCTGCCGCCCCCTTCTCCATTTGCCCTCAACCTTTCCCAGCATCAGGGCCTTTAGCGACATGACCTGATAAGTTGTTTTTCTTAAGTCAGCCTGAGTTGGGTTTCTGCCACCTAACAGACAGCATTGTAACTAAACATTTCATTTTCCTCCAAACTTACTACCTACGTGCCTTGTGTTGGTGAGGGGAGCGGGGTCACCATTCACACACACCACATCCCTGGAAATGATCCTCAGCTTTGATCTTTCTCCTAATGGTCGAGTCACCAAGTCCTGTCTCATTTCTGTACTCAAATTTTCTCACATCTTTCCCTCTCTCTTCAACCCCTCCTCCCCTGTCCTACCTAGGGGTGTCTACTCAGGCACTCACCAGCCTCCTCATGAGCCATCCAAATCTAGCCTCTAATTTCTACTTTCACCAGCTCCCTGCTCCAAACCCATCAATGACTCCCCACTGCCTGCACGTGAAGATGGCATCTTTCAGCCTGCTCAAGCTGACCTGTCAACCTGCCCAGCCTCACCTCCCATCACCCAGCTACACTCTAGTCTCTTACGATCCCTGCAAACAAGTCCTGAGCCCAGGTGGTCAGGCTGAGTACAACCCCACATCATGTTCCTTGGCTCCAAACACTCAGTCCTCCCCTCTGCCCCAGCTCCAGACTACCGGCACGTGCCTGGAACACCATCTGCCTCCACACCCTCCAACCCAGTCTCTCAATTTCCGTTCTGTGTTACTCTAGCCAAAAAAGTCTAGGCATCACTGGACCCCCTTGGGCCTCTCAAAGATCTGAAACAAACATGAACAAAATAAAGGCTCTGACAAGGTCTGCAGGGAAGAAATCTGTCTAAAACTCGTTTGAAGGCCACATCTCCCATAAGTCTGTGTTCCCAGCACGTCTGTTCAAGGGACATTAGCTCAGTCTGTGAGTATTCAGTAGACTCATGCACCCCCTACTAGAGGGCTGCTTGTGTTTCACAGGCTGGATCTTGAGCAATGCCTCTCGTTCTAGATCCTGCTCATGTTTCAGAGCTCAGTTTCAGGTTAGCCTTCTCCAGAACACCTGCGCTGTCCCTGCCCAAGGCCCCCAGCCCCACTGGCTGGGCCCCTCGTTACTTAGCTCTGGGGGCTAAGCATCCCCAATCAGTCATGAAGCTTGTCTTTCAAATGAGGCCCTCGGGTCCTCCAGGGCAGCACCCAGCTCTCCCTGCTACCCCACACACTCAGCAGCGCCATCTCTGGGAAGGAGGAGGCAGTGCAGCCATGAAGGAAGGGGCAGAGGAGGCCAGAAGAGAATAGGGCAGGCTGAGGGAGGGATGGAGGCAGCAGCCCAGCCTGCCTCACCCCCGCCCCCCGGGGCCCTGCTCACTGGTGTCCGTGGTCTCGTACTGGCTGTCCCGCTGCAGCTCAAAGATGTCCACTTCCACGCGGGCCTTGGCTGGGACCTCGATGATCCCGTTGATCTGCTCCCGGGCCAGGGCCAGGGCCAGACGTTCGCCGCGGCCACACACGGTCTGGTCGTCCAGGATGGCAGCTGAGGGAACACAGGAGTTGGGGACTGTACTCCTGGGTCCTGAGGGAGGAGGGGCTGGGTTCCCGGACTCCTTGGCTCTGAGGTAGGGCTGCAGGTGGGGTGAAGGGGTCCAGACTCCTGAATCTGAGGTTGGAGAGACCTGGGATCCCGACTCCTAGGCTCAGGGGGAGGAAGGAGCTGGGCAGGGGCTGCCAGACTGCGGCCCAGATCCCTGGTTCCTGAGGGACCGGCATGATCAGAGAAGAGCCCCCGGGCCCAATGGGAGGGTCTGTGGGGAGGCGGGGCGGAGGGGGGCTTTAGGGCCTCACCCATGCGCAGTGATGAGAGCACCTGGCAGCTGGGGCTGGCGAAGGCAACAATCAGCAGCAGCAGCAGCTCAGCCGGCATCTTCCTCCCCTCCTCATGGGGACGCAGCTGCCGCGGCCCCCACTCGCCACCTGCAGGGAGACCCCCCCGCACACAGGGAAATTGCCGAAATGAGGGCTTCTGAGCCCCTCTGTGGACTGCCGGATGGGGTGGTGACCACAAAGCCTGGGACACAGTTGCTGAGCTCTGAAGGGCCCTGCCCTCATTAGAGCAGACAGTACTGAAGGCATCGCTGGGGGCACCGAGACTCAGAGGAGACTAGCAGTGGGGAGGGGGGGCAAAGCTCACAGCACCCCAGCACCAAGGGGGAGAAGCACTGATGGAGGATGTTCACAGCTACCCAAACAGGAGGGAGATATGAAAAGGATCTCAGGTAAGAGCAGATTCCAGGGACTATCTCCACCCCAATAGGAAACCAGGAAGTGCCACCCCCCACCCAGTTCCGCCCCTGTCTCTGGGCAGGCAGCTGTTACTAGGCAACAGAAACCGGCTGGAGAGGATGCAGTGGTTGCTAGGCAACCCCATCCCAGGCCTCACTTGCCACCTTCCTGACGTCCCTGGTTCCCACAATCCCACGGGGAGAGAAGCCTGGACATCCGGGGTCTGGAGGGGAAAGTATCCGGGAGTTAAGAAACTTGGGAAGAGAAAGACACATGGAGACACACAGATGGAGACAGATGGGAAGATCCAAGGCACCTAAGGGGCTAAAAAAGAAAAAAGGAAAAAAAAAGGGGGTAATGAGAGAGAAAGACAAAAACAGACAGAGAGAAGAGAGGCTGGGGGTGGCAGAGATATGAAAAGACTCAGGAAAGGAGAAAGGGAAAATAGGCCAAAATATAAGGGAACAGAAAGATGATACGAAGACAAGAGAATTGGGAGAAACAATGGAGAGAAACAGAGAAGAAGAGTTGTAGGGAGAAGAGGACAGGACTAGGAAAGAGAAAGAAGGAGAAGACAGAAGACAGGGAGACATGGAGACAGAGAGAGAAAGGGGAGAGCAGGGAGAGGAGGAGAGTGGGCAGGTAGAAGAGAGGGAAATCAAGACACAGGAGGGGACTTCCCTGGTGGTCCAGTGGTTAGGACTCCACGCTCCCAGTGTAAGGGGTGCAGGTTCAATCCCTGGTAGGGGAACTAAGATTCCACATGCCAAGCAGTGTGACCAAAAAAAAAAAAAAAAAAGACACAGGAGGGACACAGAATAGAACATGAAGACAGAATGGAGAGAAGACACAAATCTACTCAAGATGCCACCAGAAAGCTGGATGGAAGGAGTGAATAAAACAGGGGGCCCTATCTGCTGAATCGCATGCCAAACTATGGCCCCCCCTACCCTGCTCTAGGGAGCTGAAGACTAGCGGAAGGCAGTGAATCTTTGCTTCCCACAACTGCTCCCAGTGCCCTTGCCTTCTGCAGGGGGACCACTGGGCAGGGATGAGTCTGGCCAACTGCATGGCTCCCCCTGGTCAAGGGCAGGGCCCCATGGGAAGGGACACTTGGGTTTCCATGGGAGAGGATTCCTGAGAGGCCTGGAGTGGGGTGATGTGAGCCTGGGGGGCTCCCCACATGCCACTCATTTCCATGGGAGGAGGGCTTAGGCTGGGGAGATGGCAGAATGAGACCCACCAATGGAGGAGGCAGAAGCACACAGCAACACTTCACATCATCCCTTGTAGCCAGAAAAACCTAGGCCAGGGCCGCCGGAGACCCCCTAGGTCCCTGCTCCGCTGCCACCTCCCAGGTGACCTTGAACAGGTCCCTCTCTCTCAGGACCTCTGGGAAAGACAGGCTGGGGGTAGGAAGGCCTGCTGGACCGCCTGGGGCCTCTGGACTGTAATCTGCATCACAAGTGAAGCCCTGTCAAGGGTGCAGGATGGAAGGAAGCAGGGCGAACCCAGAAGGAGAACTCACAGGGACAGGGGTGTGGAGGGCGGGGCTAGGAGAGCGGCGTGAGTGAGGGGTCATCCTGAGCTCCAGGGGCTTCTGGGACAAATCAGGGAGGAGACTAGAAACATAAAGACCAAGAAAGAGACAGGGGCCAGAAGGGCAGGGACCCGCAGGTGGCAGACACAGGTGGGAGCTGAAAGAGACAGTCCAGGGACGGGGCTGGGGCAGCAGATGGACACAGGGGCACAAGAAGGCACAGACAGAAAGACAGGCAAACCAAAGGGAAGTAAGTGGGGCTCAATGAGAGAGAAGGACACACAGACATCACCTAGAAGTGAGACACCAGAGGGGACAGAGACAAGAGGGAGAGCACACAGAGAGAGGAGGGCAGGGAATCAGGCCCAGAGACTTAAGCAGAGCCAGATAAAGATGGAAACACAGCAGCTGAGTGAGCGGAACGGGCCCTGCCAGGAGAGGAAGACAGACAAGTGGGCAAGTGAGAAATATTGCAAAGGAGAGAGGGCAAATGGGGTGAGGGATAGAGAGAAAAGATGAACAGAAACAGGAACGGAAGGGAGGAGAGAAATCACCAAACTCTGACAAGGAGGGCTAGTCAGAAAGAGAGAGATGGAGAGAAAAGGTCTATGAGCCACACAGCTTCTCTGGAGAAGAGGAAAGACCAAGCAGGAGAGACAGACACAAGATTGAGACACAGACTCCCCAACATGGAGAGAGGAGAAAGGAGTCAAGGAGGGAAGCTGAGGGAGGGAAGAAGAGTGAGTGACCTGGAGGGGCACAGGCAGGGGACAATCACCCACACACAGGAGCATCCATCCATCCATCCATCCATCCATCCATCCATCCGCACAGGGGAGCATCTTGGAAGCAGGTCAACCCTAGAGACTGCAAGCCCCAAGGCAAGGGGAGGAGTGGGAACCAGAAGCCAGGCAGGGGGACGCAGAAGGGGAAGAGAGAATAGGGGGCCCGGGAGATCACCGTGGGAAAGATAAAGTGGGCCACGAAGCAGGGCAGTGGCTAAGGAGTGAGGGATGGAGGAGACAGGATGAGGAGCGGATCTGGGGGAAGAAAGCAGAAAGTAAGAGAAGGAAGACGGCCTCCAAGCCCAGAGGTGGAGAGAGAGGCAGACAGGTGAGTAGAGGCCCAGGCAAAGTGAACAGTGCACAGAGGGCAGTGGGGAGAGGCTGAGACCAGGCACAGGATCCTCCCAGACAGAGAGGAGACAGGAGAGTTTTGGGAGACAGAGGGAAGGGAGGGAGACGGGGAGATCCATAGAGACACACCAAGAAAGGGCTGGGCTCACCGCAAAGAGAAAGAAGTTGGACAGAGTCAGAGAGAGGTCCAAGAGACACATGAAATAGGAGATTCAAAAATGGAAAAAAGACACTTTCAGGAGACAGAGACCGGCTGGGATGGGGCCCAAGGGAGGTGGAGAGGATGAGGCTCAGGGGAAAGGAGAGAGACACGGAAACAGAGTGAGAGAGCAGAGCCGGTCACCGTGGACCGAGGCTGGAGAGCAGGGGCGGAGACCAGCCAGGAGTCCCGGAGGCGGAGTGAGATCGCAAGTCAGAGCCAAACCAGACCCTCAGGAGCCCAGCAGCTGGGGGGCTGGGGGGCACGGCTGAGCTGGGTAATGAGAAGAAGGGGTGAGGAAAGGCTGAGGGGAAAGGAGATGGGGAGATGGAGGGTGCAGGGCAGGCCCTTGGTGGGGGAGGGTGTCTGCCGGTCGGGGGCGATCAGGGGGATGTGGGCCCCCCACCAGCCGGCAGTGAGCCCAGCTTTCCAGGCCCAGGCCCAGCCCGCACCCTGCAGACACTCACGGATCCTGGTGGGACGGAGGGCTGGGCTCCCTCGAGGCCCGAGGATCGGATCGACAAGGGGGAGATGCTCCGGTGCTGGGCGGTGTGGCAGGGGCCGGGGGAGAGGGCAGTCCACAGGGCCCCCTCCCCCGCCTCCGGCGGTGGCCCCCAACTAATCCCAAACAGGGGGCTCCCCGGGGGACAGGGAGGAAGGACAGGTGGAAGAGAAGAGGGCGGGCCAGGGAGGGGAGGAAGGGGAAAGGAGAAAATGGAGGAGGGAAGGGGAGAGAGGAGAGGGGGAAGGAGGGAGGAAGGTGAAAACGCAAGGGAGGGGGCACAGGCAGAGCCGGGGGAGGGGGAAGCCGGCCCAGGCAAGGGCCCCCGCCCCCTCCCCTAGCCGGGCCGGCCTGGGGGGGCCACGGGGGGCGAGGACTGGGTGGCGACAAGGAAGCCGGCCATCAGGAGAGGTGGGGGAGGGGAGGGCTGGGTGGGGGGGAGGGGGCCACCCCTTCCCCCCTCCCCCCTGGAGCCCCGGCCGGCCCTGGATGAGGAGGCTGGGGCCTGGAGTCCTCAAGCCCTCAGCCCGCGCCGGGAAAGCATGCTGGGGGCGGGGAGAGGTGGACAAGTGGAGGGGCTGGGGGAGGATGGGGTGCTGGGAGACCCCGAGAAGAGCCGACGACGACAGGCCGGGTAGGAGAGGTGGAGAGATGGAGAAGAGGGAGAGGAGGAGGGAGGGAAGGATGGAGAGGAGCAGGTGGAAGAGGAAGGCGGAGGAGGGTGGGGTGTCCCGGGGGCGCCCAGCGCAGGGCCTCGGCGGGAGGGCCTGGCCACGGACTCCTGGTCCCCTGCGAGGAGCAGCCGCCGGCTCCGGGCTCCCAGCTGGGCCTCCCTCCCCGCCGCCGCCGCCGCCGCCGCCGCCGCCGCCGCCGCCACTTCTTCTCCCCTCGGAGGCCGCCGCCTGCCTGCCTGCCTGCCCGCCTGCCGCCCGCGCTGGGTCCTGGAGCGCAGGGGGGCGGGGGGAGAGAGGAGGGAGGGAGGGAGACAGGGAGGAGGGCGGGCAGGAGGCTGGGAGGGAGGCAGGCGGAGATAGAGAGAGAGGAAGACAGAGAGAGGGAGAGATCGGAGGGAGGGGAGTCGGGGGAGGGGGAGCCCGTTGGTCCGGGCTGGGGGGCCCCCGCGAGGAGAATGCTGATGAGGGCAAGGCGCTGCATTGGACAGAGGGCCCACCCCTCGGGCCACCTCCTCCACCACACCATGCCACCGCCCTGCCCAGGCAGCCCTTGGGCACAGGCACCCACAGGAGACAGAGGCTGAGAGGCA